AAGCCTTACCTCAGGTCTACCATTCTCTATGGTTCAGTGAACATGACCGACTTCCCTCATCTTCTTTGTTGCCATCCTCATGGTCATGGTAGTAAACCACCTTGTTCTTCTTCTTCTTCTTCTTCTTCTTCTTGTTTACAGTACAGTCAACTGGAGCCTGATGTTTCAAAAGAAGGCCGGCCGGTGGACCAACCCTGGATGAATAGATGGTGGAAGAAGACAAACCGGTGGCTGATATCCGTCCCGGGCATTTGATCTCTCCATGTGTTGCTGCATGCTGTCAACAGAAGTGTATCCATCAGCTGCTGAAAGGTAGATGAGGGTGATGCAAGACAGTGGGTTAGTCAAGTACAGATTGGACTTTTGTCTCCTTGCTCAGAAGAAATCCATCAGTTTAAGCTGCTTGTACTGCGATGCGTTCAGAAATGACTTCTCTGTCGTATTTAATGGCTATGTCTCCACCCTAAACAAGCTGTGATTTCCAACTCTTGCTGTCCAATAGAGAATACATCTCATTCACAATCAAAGGGGAAACCCTTCTCGTTGGATGCCATCACCCCCTGTTTGTTTTGTGACATTGCCTGGTCTCTCAAGTAGACTGCTTGACCGAACTACTAAACATAAATGAGTATATCTGATTGCTATTCCACTATTGCTCTCTGGACACCAAAATCCAACATCACACTCAAATTGCAGCTAGTCAATAAATTTCTCAACCTGGAATAAAACATTGGAGAATTGAAGGGCTTCAAAAGTGGACAGTCTTTGTGCAGCATGCAGCAACACATAGAGAGATCAAATGCATACGTATTCATATAGATGAATTTTTCTCAATAAAACAGTAAAATTTTCTCGTACAATTAAAAGAATCTTATATGTTATCATACCCTCGTAAGATGGTGTTCCTGTCAAATATGTCAATCTTAAACCGATGCAATGAAAATAGTTTATGGATGAAAAACTTCGTGAGTGAATTTGCTAGTTGATCGATCGTAAATATATGAGAAACACGTAGTTGATATCGGACAACTTGATCTCGCATAAAGTGAAAATCGATGATAATATATTTTATGCGGGAGTGAAACACTAGATTGACGCATAGTTAGATAACTCCAACATTATACCGTGATAAAAGATATGTTTTTCTAAAGTTTATTGATATGTTCTTCTCATTTATAGTTGAAAAAATTTTATATGTTCTCCTCATTGATATGTTCTCCTCAACAAAGTAAGGAGATTTTCTCGTATAGTTGAAAAACTTTATATGCTATCAGCCACCTATTTATCTTCTTCCACCAGCTACTCCTCCGAGGTTGGTCCACCGGCCGGCCTTCTTTCAGCTTGTTATTGCAAACTTGAGTGCAAAGGAGAAGCACACAAAACGGAAAGAAAGGGGAACAAGAAAAGAATATGAAACTATCTCCAGACTGAATGAATCAGAGACTATATACGACTGTTTAAAGAAGGATATCATTAACAGAGGCAGCAGACAGGTAATCTACACTGCAAGCAAAATGGCATATGCAGTAGTAATCTACACTGATAAGACAACCTGATTAGGACCCGAATTATTTTTCATTTCCTTGAGAATAAAGAAAGTTATATATAAGCCATTTAAGTTACAAATAAACAGATAGCAATAATAATAATGCTCCAATTCACCGAGATATAACATGCATAGCAATCAACTGCTAATTCCATATCCAATATTTTTGAACTATGACACTTCCATTGCCACCAAGAACCTTTATTCTTTGAGGTCTCTGCACCACAAGCATTGTTCATTATATCTGAGTAATTGCAGTAGAAAAATTCAAGAACAAATTATTTTCAAGCAACTTAAACTTGAAAATAGGATCAGTCCATCCAAAATTTAAAGGTAACAATTGCAACTTTGGGCCAGGTTTAGGTTGGCCTCAGGGTAATGTTGTCTTCGGCCCGACCCGGAAACCGATAATAAATTGTAAGAAAAATTTGTATATTTTAATTAACAATAAGAAGTATATAGAATGAAATTTAATAAAAAAGAAATTGAAATTTTAATTTGGAATTGACTTTATTGATCTTAATAATGATTTCTTCAATGTGTGTGCATAATTTGGATAATGTTGATCTATATCAGGCCAAAAACCTATGATTGATTTTGATTAGTGTTGTCCAAACAAGAAATGCTGGTTTCTGAACAGTCTGTGCCAAATATTAAACTTGCTTTGATCATTCTCTTGAAACCTTTTTGCTTTGGGGGCTAAAGGCCAAACAACTGCAAGACAGATGCAAACACAATATGGGGGACAAGAAGCCATGCCTCTATTCACCTACTAAAAACTCTATAAAAACACTCGGTACTTTCTCTCACTGATCCACCAGTCACAGCCCTGAAAACACTCAAAAGAACAGAGAGAAGAACACAAAAATCATAATAGTCAGAACAATGTTTGAGATATTCTAATGTTTAGCATACTGTCGCGTGATTAAATTGGTGTTTAATAGATGGTTAAATGTCATATTTTATGGAGTCACACCACCTGTGAGGTTTGGACGAAGCTTCAGAACAGGGGGGAGATGTGGAAGACGCATCACCCACAGACGCAGTGGCAAACCAAAGCCTTGAAAGACGAGCACCTGTCTCCCTCGCTGCTTTGTACTTTACAGGTCAAGGCGATGTGTCTTTGGATGGGACACACAAACTCGATCACCATTTTCTCCGCCATTCATTGTATGAAGTATACGAAGATTTTGATACCATCGAATTGAATCCAAACAATTTTGTCACCGATGACGCTAATTCGACAGCACAACTGATTGATTCGGACCATGGAACCCCACTGGGAACGACGATAGTTTGCGTTCTTATCGATGCCATGAGCCTAAGCTACATTTCTCTGTCCTTATTCTGAGGAGCAATTTAGAGATTGAGATTTAGACCCCACCAAAGATAAGAAAAATGACACCCTGCATACGGGTTCATGGCATCGGTCGCCTCTCTTTAGCCTCGATTTATGCCCGACGGTCTGTCTTTATCGGTCCACCAACATAAGAACAACATGATGGTCTAAGTCATAAATTCTCATACATTTTTCTCTTAAGAATTATAAGATTATTATATTTAAAGTCATCGTTAAATACTGAAAATGATTATAGTCTTTAGTAATAATTGACTTTGTAAGCTTTACTTATGGCACGACATTTACTGAGCTGTCGTCGGTCCAAGTGAAGGATGACATGTCGGCTCGGTATTAATGAGAGGTTTGACGTGTTGATTAAGTGACGGATGATACATTGGCTTGGTAACAATGATGTGTCAGCTCGATAATAGTGATGTGTCGGACATTTCATAATCCGCATAGAATTATTGTTCCAAATTAATAGATATTGTAATAAATTATAAAGAAGTAAACATAAAAATAAAAATAAAAAAATAAATAGAATTATTGTTCCAAATTAGAGAACCAAACACCGCTTTATTTAAACAAATGCATCATCAGACCCCGTCTCGTATTCCTCCGTTGCCACTCATATCATGATCATGATCATGATCTCCACCGACGCTAGTGCCCCGGCAAAGCGCAGGACGAAACCCTCGCCACCCGAGAACAAGTGGCGGACCGGCGCCCGGGAGCGAGCCTACCGCAGCCGCCTCCTCGAGGCCCTCCGCGCCGCCGGCGAGCGGCGAGCGTCCGGACCCCGCGCCGTCAAGGAGGCGGCGGACTCCGCTCTCGCCCTCACCGCCCGCGGCCAGTCCCGTTGGAGCCGCGCCGTCTTGCTCCGCCGTCGTAGCAGGCTCCTCGTCAGGGCCGGCGGCAGAATCCGCCGCCGCAAGCGGCCGCGGAGACGGCCGGTGGGACCGACTCCCGGAACGGGGCAGCCGGAGGAGGGGAAGAAGGTGAGGGACCGGCTGCGGGCGCTCGGCCGGCTGGTGCCCGGGTGCGAGAACCTGTCGACGGCTAGCCTGCTGGAAGAGGCGGCGGACTACGTGGCGGCGCTGGAGATGCAGGTGAAGGCCATGCGCACTCTCGCCGATGACCTCTCGGCGGCGGCCGCGTCGGGGAACGGCCGGAGGGCTGAGGGATAGAACGGCGGCCTTTTGGCCCAATGTTAATTAATTCGCCCAATAAAAAAGTACATAAATCCTTAGAATGTTTGGGAATTGGTGCTATAAAATATATGAAATATTAGAGTTTTGTGTCATCTTATTTTATATGCATTCCTAATACATCAATTAGGTATTTTGCTTATTTTGCATTCATTATTTTTAGATATATATATATCTCTTATTTACTAAATTTAAATTTAAATTTAAATTTAAAAGGGGAAAATATGCTAATAAAAACTCCATAAACATAAAACCCTTTCTCAACCATCCTACCTAACTCCTACCGAACCGCTCCTTTCGTGCCTTCTACCATACCCTTTCTCGCTGCTCTTTAGCTCTCTCTGCGAAATCCTAATCCCTAATCCCTCATCTGTCGTCGACATGGATCCCCAGTCCGCCGCCGCCCGCCACGTTGCCGTCATCGCTGGCCATCTGAACTGCCCCTCTCCCTCCGCGGCAGCCCCACTCGCGCTCGCCGCGTGCCTCCATTATGACCCGCCCGAGCTCTCCGAGAAGCCGCCGGCCTTCGACCTCGCCGCGCTGCGCCGGGTTCTGGACGGCCACGACCTCGCGGCGCGGGACTGGCTGTTCCGGCTGATGGAGGAGAGCCCGCTCTTCTGCCCCCGCCGCCGCGGCGACAGGACGTTCGTTGCCCCGGACTACAACCAGACCAAGGAACAGCAGCGGGCGGTCACGATGCGGCGGATCGAATACCTGCTCCGCCGTGGTGTGTTCGAAGGGTGGATCACAGGGAGCGGCCCGGAGGCGGAGTTGAGGAAGCTTGCCTTCTTCGAGTGCATCGCGATCTATGACCACTCCCTCTCTGTCAAACTAGGGGTCACTTTCTTTCTCTGGTCAGTCTCTGCCTTTTCTCTCCTCTTTTCTGTCCGTCTAGGTAACCTGACTTTTTAGTATGTTGGAAATGTGTAATTTTGGTTGAATATTTGGATGTTATTTGATGCAAACACTAACTGGAAGCATTTAATCAATCAGGACCGGCGTAGAAATTATATGTAAAAAGTTAGCCAAATTTACCTTTTTGAAGTTCAGCAGTCAGAAAGAAAAAAGAAAAATAAAGTATAGAAGAGGGGTCAATATAGTATATTGGCTGTAGCGATAATTGCTTTGAAATCAAATTATCGGCTTTTTTTTATGACTCTTGGAGTATGATGAAACGGAAGCTCAGCTGAACAGAAACAAACTAAGATGTTGACTTTATCTGTTACATTTAATCTCATCATCACCATCATGCACTTAAAGCTGAACCCAAGGTTATCCTATTAGTGATGTAGGGTTGCAATTTTTGCTCCTCGTGCATCTGGTTGAATTCTAGAAGCCCGAGCTGCATCACAAACAACACTAAATACATCCAGAATCTTACATGACTTGTTTGTCTGACTTCATGATAGAGTTGACTATGGATTCAACATATTTCAGTGTTTCAATTCGACCTAGATGGCCTTCTAACATGTCTGCTTACACTGGATTTTCTTGTGTTAAAGATGATTGCAAGTCGTGTGCTTTTGATGCCTCTTTGATGAGAGTGTCCTCTTCAGCATCTGGATTCATCACCTTCCTAATGGAACAGGCATCCCATATCTGTCTTTTTTCTTGGTAACAACGCTAGTCTGGATCAACAGTTGTCATTTTTTCCTTTTTTCTCAAACAATAATATAGACCATCTCTTGTGCTATAACTAATAGCATCTCTTATTCTTTCTTTCAACAAATCTGAGTTATTTTCATAATTTTTAGATTTGTTTGTAAATTATGCATTAATTATTATCATTATTCGAAGAGGTCCAATTTTATTATTCATTAATTTGACCTGTCTCATTGTTAAAGACTACGTTGATAATGGGATTGGTTGGATTCGAAATGGTGTAAGTATTTGTTATTGTTTATCTTTTTGGTTGATTAAAGAGGATATGAGTTATTAGATCAAAGGGGATAAGAGATAAATAAAAAGAGGCAAAACAAGCAAAGGATCATTTAGTTTTACTCAAAATAATGACTGCCTCTTTTCTTACCCGTGGAATGGACCTTTTCTTCTAATCTCACTGTAGTTTCTTCTGCAACTCAGGACTGTTGTCAAATGTAAGTATGACTATAGTCCCTATTCTATTTATGTGGTAATTATGGTAGCTATTTTTGCTTGAAAACTTGATGAAGCTTTTGGCTAGCAAAGATATCCAGCTTTAGTGATGTCATCATAAGGTTATGTGATGGGTTACAGGGGAGGGGCAATTCGGTTTTTTGGCACAAAGCGTCATCATGACAAATGGTTGAAGGCTACTGAGGATTATCAAGTTAAGGGTTGTTTTGCAATGACTGAGTTGGGGCATGGAAGTAATGTATGTAGCCAAATCTAAGTTCAGTTAGTTTTTGAGACATTTCTTTTTATTCTTTTGTTACTATATCTTTTACACATGATAGCTCTTTTTTTTATATTTCAAGGTTAGAGGAATCGAGACAATTGCTATTTATGACACAAACACAAGAGAGTTTGTGATAAACACTCCATGTGAATCAGCTCAGAAGTACTGGATTGGAGGAGCTGCTAATGTAAGGACAAATTTTATGTATCAGTTGTATTTGTTGATGTAGATGATGGCTATCTATATGCACAAGGAAACTAATATTATAGCTCCCTCTTGTGTTGACCTTGTAAACTATCATGTATCAGCATGCAACACACACAATAATCTTCTCTCAACTCCTTATAAACGGAACCAGCCAAGGGATCCATGCATTTGTAGCACAAATCCGAGATGCAGATGGAAATGTTTGCCCCAATGTTCGTATAGCTGACTGTGGTCACAAGATTGGCTTGAATGGTGTTGATAATGGTCGGATATGGTGAGGACACAGGTTTCTAATGCTAGAGTTTGTTTTTCTGCTTGAGGGCTGTCATTTGATGCCTTCTTTGTTACTTATGCAGGTTTGATAATCTCAGAGTCCCTCGGGAAAACTTGCTAAACTCAGTTGCTGATGTATTGCCCGATGGGCAATACGTGAGCTCAATAAAAGACAAAGATAAGGTTACACAAATTGCTAAGGCCATCATATTTATTTGTTTTAAGTTGTTTTAACTATGCATACACATTTTATGCAAAATTATCTTAAGATGTTTAATGCTGATATTGATTATGGTTCTTGTTGATATGTGCTATTGGCTACCTATTGAAGTCAAATTGATATTGCAGAGGTTTGCAGCTTTTATGGCTCCGCTGACTTTTGGGCGTGTGAATATTGCAGCTACTGCAGTTTATATATCAAAGGTACCTTGTACTTGCTTATTATGCATATCAACTCATTGATAATTATATATTTGTCATGATATGTGGGCAAGATTGTTTAGTAACTTATATTATACTGGTTTTAGGTGGCTTTAGCAATTACTGTGAGATATGCTTTGACGAGGCGAGCTTTTTCCATATCTGCTAATGGGCCTGAGGTTCTGTTGCTGGACTATCCTAGCCATCAATGGCGTATCTTACCCTTAATTGCAAAGACGTAACTGCATCAATTAGCCTGATCATATATTTGAATTTCCATGTCAAATGGCCCTGATTTTCATATCAGCTGCTTTGGGTGAATAAAAAAAATATTTTCGCCAATTTGTTTGTGTTTTTCCTCATTTGCAGTTGTGCTATGAGTTCTGCAGCTAATTATTTGAAAAGATTATATGTTAAGAGGACACCAGAAACAAACAAAAGTATTCACATATATTCCAGTTCTCTGAAAGCTACACTTACGTGGCATAACATGAGAGCACTTCAGGTACATGAACTTTAGCTGAAATGTTTCATTTTCATCAAGGATTTTCTTTATCAATTCATAAGGTTATTACTACTTCTAGGAGTGTCGCAAAGCCTGTGGTGGGCAAGGCTTGAAAACAGAGAACCGAATTGGTATTCTAAATGGTGAGTATGATGTCCAATCTACCTTTGAGGGAGATAACAACGTATTGATGCAACAGGTACCATGCAATTGTTTATTTGACATTATCCTTTTTAAGATTAAAGCACATGGAAGTAATATTGGCACACGTTGAACCAGGTTAGCAAAGCACTCCTTGCAGAGTATTTAGCAGCAGAAAAGATGAAGAGTTCATTCGAGGGATTGGGGTTGGAACACATGAATGATCCTTGCCCAATTATCCCGGCTAATCTAACAAGTTGTACACTTAGAAGCATCAAGTTCCAGGTAGCAAGTTAGCTATGTGATCTGCTTCACCTTATTGACTTAAGATCAAGATGTAGTTATTTTATTCATTCAGCTTGACCTACTCTGCTTGAGGGAGAGAGATTTACTTGGGCGGTATGCTAGTGAAGTGTCTCAATATCAAGCCCAAGGAGAAAGCAAACAGAAGGCAATGCTTTTGGTATTTGTTCCTTATTACTTTAATTATTTTGTTCTTTTCATGATGTGCATTTTGTTAATGCTATTGAACTTCTTGTTGAGCATATCAGAGTCATCAGCTTGCTGACGAATTGGCAAGGGCGTTCACTGAACGCACAATATTGCAAATTTTTGCGGATGATGAGATGACTCAGTCTGCTGGACCACTAAAGGTATAGTACTGAAGAACTTCTCAAAGCAGGAAATGTAAAGCAAAAATAACTAACTCCAGGGCTAAGTTCCTCACTAAAATTGTTGACCACTTCCAAATACCTAGTCAAGCCATTGCCAAACATGTAGATGGGTAGTATTATTGAGTTTCTCAAGTAAATTGATGCATCAATCCTGTAAATGTTAATATCCTCTGGCAGGAGCTACTGGGGCTGCTGAGGTCGATGTATGCCTTGATCTGTGTGGAAGAAGATGCTTCATTTCTTCGCTATGGGTACTTGTCACTTGAAAGTGCTGCTGCCGCAAGGAAAGAAGTCATGAAGCTGTGTGGTGATCTAAGGCCCCATGCACTTTCTGTGGTCAGTTCCTTTGGAATCCCTGATGCTTTCCTGAGCCCAATTGCTTTCGATTGGATTCAGGCCAACTCCTGGGCTTCCCTGAGCAATGAATAAATCACAAACTTTTCTTTCACGTTCTTTGGATTTGTTTCAGTTCAGACTTCATCTTGATAGACTCACGATAAGTGAAACATCTGTGGCATTTAATTGCAGCTTTTGCAGTCTACGGTTCTCCTCCCCTAATAAGCAAGAGCATATGTCGGACCAGGAATGTAGACACTCTGAAGTATCTATGCTATAATTGTATTGTGGATGATGCTGTTACCTCATATTTGCATGGTGGGTTCATGTCACGTGGAACAATTTATTCTGCAAGCTAAAAGTCGTCCATTTATCTGTGTGTTGACACAGGGCTTCCACGTCGTTCCCACGCCCATCTGGATTGTTTACCTCAGCTCCTTGTCAGGGATGCGTCACCATGCCAGAGGAACCCCCCTTCCGAGGAGGACCACTGCTGCAAGCCACGACCATTGGCACGATCCAAGACGCAACTTACCGGCGCCGTAGTTCCGGACGGGCGAGAGGAGGTGGTGACACACGTCCGAAAGCGTCGTGCCTCGAGTCGTACCATGATAAGCAACTGGGGAGCCTTCGACGAAGCAACTGCAGCTATCAAAGACCAATAATAGATCCGTCGAATGCTACAACCTATACTCCCACAAGTAACCGTCGTCAACTTACTACATGTGATTTGTATGGGCATCGTTGTGGTCGAAAGCGCAGCCAACATGTCCACGACTCCTACCCGACCAATCAGCATCCTCCACCTCCGAGCTTAAGATTTTTCCTTCACGTTGCTTTCATCTCCACCCGACACGAACAACTTACATCGACTACGAAGATTTCCTGCATAAACAACCACAGGATACAGGGTTCATACAAAGGTGGATTAACGGAATGCGAACGGTGTGCGGTGATCCAGCCTCGGCACATGACTTGCAAATGCGAGGGGCTGTCTTAGCCTTGACAGCTGATACCTGCCACCCCTGCGTCACCGCGGCTTCCCTGAAACGTCAGTAACAGGGAGGGCGGAACGAAGGACCGCTACACGCGGTAATGGCTGTGTGGTCGGCGTCGCCCTCCGTGTGTGGATATATGCATGCGTACAGCGCCTCTATTCTTCAACACCGATACCATCCTTGGTTCTCTTCTCTCGGCTGTTTTTGTTCGTCGAGGTTGGTGGATTATTATGATGCAGCAGGCGATCCCCTACAGCAGCGGCAAGGCATGGCCCTCGCTGAGTCGGGCGCCGGAGGCATGGGAGCTCAAGAAGATCATCGGCGGCGCCGGCGAGATCAGGGTGGCGGTGGAGGAGAACCCCGTGGTGGTGGTGGGGCGGAGCGGCTGCTTCATGGTCCACGTCGTCCGGAGGCTGCTGCTGGGGCAGGGGGTCAACCCCGTGGTGTGCGAGGTCGGGGAGGACGCTGACGAGGCCGCCATCATGGCATCGCTGCCGCCGGAGGCGCACGACGAGAGGCGGACTTCTGCCGCCACGGTGACGCTGCCGGCGGTGTTCGTAGGGGGCAGGCTGGTGGGGGGGCTGGACCGGCTCATGGCCGTCCACATCTCTGGCGAGCTCGTGCCCATCTTGAAGCGAGCCGGCGCTCTGTGGCTATGAATCGCATCCAATTCCGTAAACCTTCTTCTGCGTCTAAAGTGATTCTGCTGCCATTAATGCTGCTCGATTTGGTTCGTCTTCCTGCAATGTAATGATGTAAGCTGCGATTCTTACGGAGCCGAATAATTTTTGGCTGGGAGAAGGATTGTGTGTCCTGCACATACAATAAATTATTCGCATGACTTCAGAGATTTATTGATATGTATAATTTCTTATATTAAATTAAAAAGAAATTTGTTCGACATCTAAAGCATTAGATAGAAAAATTCTGAATTAGATTGAACAGAAATTAGAAAAGGTGTCTATAGAAACAAATATTTGATCCGATTTGATGTTATCTAAACCATCAACAACTCGACAATCTCCAATCTTCGAATTCCTCCCCTCTTGTGAAGCAAGAAAACCTCTGATTCCAACCTTCTTATCTTCAACAATTAATGCTCTAAACAAACCTAAAAGGCTAAAACAGAAGCATCCGCCGATCAGTCTTTACCTTTCCCTTCTCCTACCATTCATTACCTCCAAAACCCCATTCAAAAAAGCCTTCCTTTTTCCGTCTGCTCCATTCCGTTCGCCCCCTTCCTCCTCCGCCACCTCCTGCATTAATTGCCTCCTCCAGCGCCACCCATCGTCGCGCTTTCTTTGTTGCTGTCGTCCCTGTTATCCTGCTAATTATGATGCACTTTCCCCCGTTAGCACGCCCTTTCCTCCTTACTGTTAGCTTCCGCAACGGAAATCCCCTCACGATTCCTTCTTTCCTTTCGGCGTGTTGCGCGTGCATGCATTTTGTCGAAGGAAAGCCGCACGTTTTGCTGCTCCCCGTCTCTTCTCGCTCAGTTCCCAACCTGAAAGCCCTCGCCTTTTCGCTCCTCTGCGCCCGCTATCCCTCGTGTCCGCTGCCCGTGGTTCGGGATTTGAGTTGAGATGGAGCACGCGGACGGGAGCCTCGGAGAGGGGCCTCTTGAGGACGGATTAATGGCGAAGAAGCAGATGAAGAGTCCATCACAGGTGCAGATCCTCGAGGAAGCTTATGCAGGTCCTTTGCTCCTTTCAAAGTTCTGATCTTTTTCGTGTTTCTTGAAGACGTTGATCATCATCTATTGTTCGTTTTATTAGAGGAAGCCTCTGCAGATTGCTAAAATTTTCTTTGTTTGCGGGAGGGGGGTTTTTTAGTAGGTGGTTCTTGACAACTTTGGTTGTGTTGGATTCGTGGTGTTGAGTTATTGCCGTACGTTTGGTTTGATTTTTCGTGCAGTGGAGCCGAATCCAAGTACGTGGATGAAGGAGAAGTTAGCAAGAAGAACAGGGCTGGAGTACATGCAAGTCCAGAACTGGTTTGGGAATCGGCGGTTCCTGGACAAGCATGGTCCTCGGAGGTACACACCCAGGAAGAATCGTGATCATCTCCTGGGTGGTGGAAACTATATGTATCTGGCGCCCGAGTTCAGTCCTGGATCGACCTCCAGCATGCCATTGGTTAGTGTTGCAAGAGCTGGCCCGTCATTTATAATTGGATCGGCATGTGCAGACGAACCCTTGAGTTTGAAGAGGCACCAGCCACCGCAAACCTTCATGCCTGCAGGAACATCCTTGGTGCAGCCCAGAGTGGGGCCTGCCCTGCAATTGCCTTCATCAGTGACGCAACCGCATGTGTGGCCAATGTACCAAAAGCTGCAACAAGCAGTCACGCATGCTGAGGATAAACTGGGGCATCCTTCAAGAACTTATGAGCCAATCAGTACCAAGTTCAAGCCTTTGACTTCTGGAACTTTTGAGGTTCCTTTAGGTATCATGCTTCTTACAATTTCTATCGGATATGAAAATTTTCCTCTTTACTAGAGTTATGTATCGATGACTAAGACTGATAACACCCAGTGATGCAACTATGTTGTCCATTATACTAGAATTGTTGTTTGATTATAACTCTGCTGAATAGGCTATGTTTGTAGTAATGATTTCTGTTGCTATAATTAAATTTATGGACATGAAAAAGTTGAGTCACACCATATTACAATGATTCTGGTTAAGCAATGTAATGGGAGTTTCTTGGAAGCTGCATTTTGCTAAGATTCATTATCTTTTTTTTTTTTTTTGCCTACATGCATTTATGGTGTGAAGTCTTATGTCTGCTTTGGCATCAAAAGGTTCAAGTTATTTTGATCTGCATTTGTAGATGGTGACCCCAAGGCATCATCGACAATGCAGTCTATGTAGCGACATATGTAATTGTAGTGACATTGCTATTGACCTGGGAGATTATGTTATTTTGTCAAATTTATCGATGAAATTTTACCCATAATGTGGCTTCAAAAGCTTAGTAATTATTTGGAGAGAGGGATTATGCATGATCTTATGTGGTTTAGCGCTTAAGCCTATTGTTTTTTTTCTTTACTTGAAGCAAATTGTTATGCTCAGTATTATGTGAACGAAGTCATACGCTTCCATTTGCCAAGTGTTTTGCATGAGCCAATGAATAATAGACAGGTAAATCATGAGTCATAATTTATATTACAAGTTTTATTAACCTCTTATACTGTAGTAGGATCACTTTCTTTATAATTTGTGGTTGGCTGATTGCAAACACTTTGTTTGTTTGTTTGTTTTTTTTTTTTTGTAGTTTCCTTAGGTTCTTTCGGCTTAGTGACCATACAGCTGAAATATTATGTCTTATTATATTTTTTTAAAAGAGCTGATCTCAAAATTTGACCATACAGCTGTAAAAAACTTTCTTTTTTTATTTTCTTCAATTAAAATTTGATATCTGTGCAGTGAAAGATTGGAGTTAATGCTAAAGTTTGACTTATAGGAAGAGAACACAGTTGTCAGTTCATGGCACTCTGTCATCTGAACTCATCATAACATGTTCTTTTGCAAATGATTTTCCACTTAAATTGCTCCAAATGATTGTCATATTGAAACTTATTTATTGATATCTGTGTTTAATTTCCTTTTTAAAGAAAAAACAGTTGTCACTTTTCAGGTTTCTGAATGTCTTTTACATAATGACATAATATTGTCAACAGGTTTTCATGGGACAGTCTAGAATATACTTAATAACAACATTGTGATCCAAGTAAATCCAATTATCTTTGATATTAATTCCTTTATTTTTCAGTATTTACTGTCCTCTCCTTGGTGTGCAGCACTGTATATCATAAATAATTGAGATCCACCTATCTAATTGATTCAACTGATGGACCAACTTATTTAAATATATGCAAAAAGATAGTCATACCAAGTGAACAGACATATGAGAAATTTGACAAATTGAGTAGGCAAAAAAGCTAACAATTAAATCATATTCTTTTGCAGTATACAGGTACTCAAATGGTACACGTTTAATGATTTCATGGTCTTTCATGGAAGCTAAAATGATATTGGCCGATGTTTATTATTTTTGATGGTTAAAGCATTCAGATACCTTTTAAGGGGTCATGGGTTCAAATCCTCTTGGGGCACTTTGCACTTGTTTTCTCCTGTCCTAGATAATGGATGACTATCTCCATGTGGGGTTTGACTATGCCATGTGTTCGACACAAAGAAAAAGAGAAGAAGATATTAAAGAGTTTGTCTAGAGAATTGTATACCAGTAAAATGTTAGTAGGCTGCTTTTTCATTTTTGCCCTCCTAGTTCTTGGACTGTCTTAGCAACCTTCAAGCTATGGGAGATCACCGTGTGTCTTAATATGAAGCAAGGATGAGAAATTATTTATTACGAATTTGGATATTGCCAAATGTGGAATTCTACGCTCACTAAGTTAGCTCCATAGCAGTTAAAGATTGGAAATGCTTAGACATTAACCATAATCATATTTGTTATGCAGGATGGTCGTTATGTTGTATACCAAGTATTAGTTCCGTCCATGTATGTCATAATTTGGTATGTCTAAAAGCTAAAAACTTGGTGCCGAAAATAATAGCAACATATTAAAATAATGGGATACCATGTGAAAATATCACTTGATTATCCATTAACTTGGAATTAAACTTAAAAGTATTGTAATGTATTGTTTCTCTGTTCAACTCTGACAAAATTTGAGATGAAAATAGTAGCAAAAAACAATTGCAGTCCATTACGGTAAGAGATGATGGAATTTAATTATTCATGACAGCAAGTCACTAAGACATGAATAGACATATAGAAATATCACTTAGCAGTTTTGTGATTAGTGTCACAGTTGGGTGAATGGAGAACTCTTGTAAGCTTAAAGAAGAAACAACCTCAGAAATTGACTAACAACACTAATATCATCATATCATGACTTAAAAATTGTGCATTTCTGATCATATGCCACCCAACAAACAAAGTGCATATATCACAACCTATAGCTCATTTAGTATACCTGGAATGTAGAACGTTCTAGGTCATAATGAGTGTGGGTACAGGGTACACCACTGAACTTTGTTCATGGTACATTATGGGTTAGAATTAATTGGTTCAATGTTTTGGGTTGTGATATGTACTGGTTACTTAGGTATTAGGTAAATTATCTAGGTCTTACTACGTTGTTAGTTATACATTTAATCCAGTAAAGGTAATGGTAATTAATGATTTAAAATGATGGATTCATTAACATTCTTTCTTTTTTGTTTAGTATGTTCATTACTTTTATTTCTTGAATGAGTTCCAGAACAGGTTTTTGTGGATTTTTTTAGTATGTTGGTTCTTACCTAAGAAACTGAAAGATAACAATGAGATTTCCAATTGTGGCACTCTGGATCATGTACTGCATCAATCAGGGATATAAATAGCATAAATTGTGGTGTGGAACCGCGACTGCAGTTTTTGGAATGGGGTGCTGGGTAGAGTGATTCCATTAACTATGAGATCGACCTTTGACATTTAGCACTGTGGAATTTATAAAATAATTTGAGTACTTAATGAATATACCAGTCTCGAAATCAAGACTGTTATAACGGATTCTACTGTAGGATGTTAGTAACTCCTTATGATTGATTTTCTCATAATGAACTATGTCAAGATGTGATTTTATTTTATTTCTCTTACCCTTTAGCTCTATGTAGATTCTAAAATCAATATCTTTGTTCATAGAGGTTTGCTGCTAATTGTTTGCTACAGTTACAGTACATAGGGAACAAAAAAATACTTGGCAACCTTGTGATGGCAAAGAAACTGAGGGAGCATGGTCAGAGTCAATTAAGGTATGCTTTCATCAACTCACTCATAAATGCCCTTTTGG